CACTGCTTTTCTCTGTCGGAGTCAAATAGAGAAATTGATGAATGTTAGTCAGAGATTTGACCCAGGGCAGATCTAAAAATGTTGCTTACAGCAATTTCTTCCTTAAAAATGCATTGCCCCCATGTGGATTTTTTTTTCTTTTTTACCAATATGTGCTTTTGTACATTTTGAGAAATAAATCTATAATGTCTGACTGTTCTTTATCACTTTACATGATCCAACTCCATTGGATCATTCTTTTCTCGATTTAAATGTTGAAAGATCAAAATGATCTAATCGTATTTGTTGTAGCTTTTATAATTTACCCAAATGGAAACAGGGTGCTATCCATATCTTTATTTATCTTATTTGCTCATACTGACCTACTGACATATGAGGAGACACAGAATAAAGTGACCCGATGTCCTGTTGTCAAGAGGAATCTCAAAGTCCAAGAAAAATTATCCTGCTATACAGTGTTTTTTCTCTGATGTCTAATTTAGGTGAAATAAATGTTTTGAAGTGTATCATGTTTCTCCTACCATAAGTGATTCAATGTTAATTTTTTTTTCAAACCAATTATATACATGTTTTTTTAGAATAATTTTGTTTTATGGTAATTTTACAGAAAAGTTCTTAAAACTCTCTCAGTTCCTTTAAAAATTCTACTTTACTCCATATTCTTTGGTCTTTTTTTATTACTTATTCAAAACTCAATTTTTTTTTTGCTAAGCAATTTTTAAACCTTAATTATGTTGGTCACTTAAATAGTTCCATAGAACTATAGAAAATGCCCATCTTTTATCAGCTTGTTTAGACAAAAAAAAGTATTTCTCTTCTTCCTAAAATATATATCTATCCAGCCCAACTCAATATTCAATACAGATATTCAGTTATTTATTTATTTATCTATTTTTGCACAAGTGATTTGCTTCCCCGAGTTGCATGAGCCAGATAATAAAAAATCTTGATCAACTGTCATTCTACAAACAAATGTGAGCTTTTACATAAAGTACCATCCCAAAAATCAAGAGGCATCCTTCTTATGTAATACCTTTGTTTTGTTAAATGACCTCATTAGAAATTATTTGGGAATTCAACATTTTATTTTATACTCTAATTCAACCTTTTCTATTCTGCTATTTGTTTACTTGATCATCTATATTTTGCCAATCATGTTCTGAAACATACACAAATAATAAATGTAGTGCCAGAAGTTTTAAGCATTTAATATTTTCTATGTATAACATGCAGAGGCCAAGTGAAAAGTAAATCTACGGTCCAAAGTATTTAATACCTAAACATCACTGGACACATGCTCCCCTGAGGGTGAATCCTACCGTTGATGGATGAGCAACCTAAGGTCAGTTGGTTTAATGTGATTTTATTGACTTGCTATTGGGAATGACTGGTGATTTGGTCAGACCTTTAGCATTGATTGTAAAAATAGCGGTTCACTGGCAAACCAAAATCAGTCCAAATCCGCTGCTGGCTTCAGCTAAAAAACGGCAAGAATAACTAACTTCATAGAAATTTACTTAGTGTGAGTCGTGCACTTATATATTATTCAGCATAGCTTAGCATTTAAAGTGCAATAATAACAAAAAGAAAAATAGACACATTTACAACATAGCAACATTGCTATCAAAAAGGACATTCTCTGCCTTGACGTATAAAGAATGCCATCCATGGGCTAAACGTCCTGACAAATTTGATAAAGAGATAGTTAAAAATCTACATTTTGTTCTAATCAAAACAAGACTTCTCTCGTGTGAATGGGTTTGATGAAAGCCTGTTTACATTGGCAGCGATTCTGCTTTCACAATACTATAAAAGCTTGGATGGGATGAAGATCAAAAGAGAGAAAAAGCTTTGGGTGGCCTCCGAGCTTCTGATTGCCCATATTGTGTTTGGTAAAAAGTTTTATTATGTTTAGGGGGGTCTTAGTTTTCTATGGGCACTAGTCTGAGTCTGGACATCCTGTTTCCTGAGGAGAAGATGTTTGTCTCTTCCCTTCTCTATCCTGGGGAGTTTCCTACAGTGCTGGACAAAGTTGAAGGTTATGATTGTTGATGTTTACTGAAACTGAAAAAAGCATTTAAGTTGTGTTTGGGCGTGAGATGAAAGTTCCCAGCAGAAGATAACTACCATTGGCAGCTCAGTGTGTCAAAGAGAAGAAGAATGTGAAACACTTAAGAAATAAAAAGAGGAAAATTGGTTCTTTTTTACGAAGTACTGTTTCAAGAAGCACTTTAGCATCAAGCTGAATATGCATCTCTGAATTATCAGTCATCCAGGTCAAGGCAACCACTTAAATGGTTGACAATTGGATTCTTACTCAGTTTCTCAGAGGACAATTTAACACCTTTTGAAGAGCCTATGTCAATTTAAACCTACCAGAATTGTAACATGGAACATTTACTGATTCTCTGAAGTAGAGTTTCTTAAAACTCTGTATGTCCTACTGACAAGGCAGAAAAAAAATAAATCTACACCAGCAGACATGGTTGCACAGTTATTCTCAAAGGACATGTTGTTATGAATTCCAGGTGTTTGTGAAGCCATGAACACAAAAGCACCATGAAAACTGATTTCTATGCAAGAACAACACAAGGTCTCTTTTAAGATGGAGCAAAAACCCCCCAAAAACATGCTCCTCTTTCTGTCCGAACAATCGCTCATTCTCTTTCCTAATTTTGAGAGGGCATATTTCCTCTCTCAGCATAAACTGAGGAGAAAAGAAAGCAAACTCTTTGTTATGACGGCTCATTGATATTTTCCCTTTTATTTCCTGTTTCAGAAGAAATTAAACTACTGAGCCCTATGCAACAACATGCAGACTAAGGAAAATAATCAAAACCATACATAGATGGATAATACAAAACTATGTAAAATTATATTATTGGACCATAATATAAAATAAATATGAATAAAAAAAAATCACTGAATAATTATGGTGACAAAGGGCTTTAAATTCAATTTAATTCAGTTTATTTATATAGTGCCAATTCACAGCACCTGTCAGACAATTCAACCGGACCATACTGTCAAATTGTCCTCCATCAGTCTAACGCTATAGCAGCAAAACTATAGAGATAGCTGTGGATAACCTGAGCCACTTTAACGATAAGCTTTATGTAAAAGGAACGTTTTAAGCCTACCCTTTAAAGTAGACTGGGTGTCTGCCTCATGGACTAAAACTGGTAGTTGGTTCCACAGGAGAGGAGCCTGATAACTAAAATATCTGCCTCCCATTCTACTTTTAGAAATTCTAGGAACCACTAGTAAACCTGCACATTGAGAGCGAAGTGCTCTGTTAGGAACATACTGTAAGGCACAATCAGGTCTCTAATATAAGATGGAGCTTGGCCATTTAAAGCTTTATATCTGAGAAGAAGAATTTTAAATTCTATTCTGGATTTAATAGGAAGCCAATGAAGAGAAGCCAGGATATGAGAGATACGATCTCACTTTTTAATTTTCATCAGAATTCTGGCGGAAGCATTTCAGCTGAAGGCTTTTAACTGCAGTTTGACTGTGGTCCAAAGACTGTGGTCCAAAGGTTGTAACTACATGGTTGGGAAGACACCACTTTAAATATATAATTGGGTTATGGCCTGCAGACTTTGCTCTTTCTACATTTCTTTTTTTTTTTTCACTGCATGCATATAATTGCATTTAAACAAATAAGAAGTACAAACCCACACATACATACATGTATCTACGGAAGCGTATTGCATTCACCGAAGAAAAAAAACCTGACATCTTATCATAATTACGAGATATTAGCTCATAATTACAAGATATTTTCTCATAATTACGAGATAATATCTCGTAATTATGAAATAATATCTATATATTTGGTTACGATTACTTAAGCCTGTAATGTAGAATCTCTCACAAAACTGGTTCATGATTACTTATTAAGAATATCTGCATCTGTTCCACTGAACAGTTCTCTGTAGGTCTAACATGATATCCGTTGGACTTCTGCTCCTGTTTTTCACTTAATCAGTAAATCCATCTTTAACCCTGGGATTACTACTTGTGGAGTAAGCATGCAGCGATATGACCATACGTGAAAATCAGTCAACAGCTCTATTAATAGAGTTTCTGTTTGGTTTTAGTATTTCATATGAATCGACATGCTGCATCAAGTTCGGACCTTGTCGTTTTAAACGATTCTGAAGCTGTCATGATGATTTCCCTTTCCCCTATGCTCCCCTGTCTAATTGGTCCTGCGGCTGATTAACCCCGATCATTTCCACCTGGTTATTCAGCTATTTACGTTGCGTGCTTGCCTTTTTTTCTTCGGTGAATGCAATACGCTTCCGTATGTTTCCCTTCTGTATAAAACACAAAAAAATACAGTATGCTCTTTTTAAAAATGTAATTATTTTAATTTCACTGAATATGGTATAAATCAATTTATTTTCTGTTTTGTCATAGTAATGCTATTTCATTTATTTTAACGCTTCTCCCATTTCACAACCATACAAAACTTACTTGGTCCTGTGAGCTGGATTTTGGCTGGCTCATCACATCATCACATCCTGTCATGATTTTACTAAAGTTCAGACCCAAATGCTGAAGACCAAACAGGGAGACCAGGAGAAAAGGTTTAAGAGGTTTTATTGAAGAGATAATGCATAGAGAAGTGTTGTTCTGAACACTGCTCAACCGGAACTGAAAAGTGAGGGAAAGACACAGCGATTAGTTCAGTCTCAGTGGGAAATTTGATTTGTGAACTTGGAGAAGAGGATCTGGTTGCTGACTCAAGTTTCCAGAGAAGTTGTTGAATCTTTGACTCCAGTCTGTATGCTGTTGTTCCAGTGTTTGTCTGATTCGGTGGAGGGCGGAACAGGGTTTACCCAGAATGCAGTTGTTTGTAGGTGAACCTAGAAGCTGACTGCCACTCAGATTTCCTGCGGTACTTGAACGGGTCATAGTGGAGATGAATCCCGTTGTAGTGGAGATGAATCCCTTTCTCAGTGTGAAGCTCAAACGATCTCTTGGAGAAAGTTTGTAACCCCAGCTCAGCTTGAAGCTCTGTTGATCCTTCCAGGGAGAGAAGGTCAGAAAAATCCAGTTTGCAGGATGATTTCCTGCCAAGAGGCAAAGACAAAAACAATGTTAAAACTCAGGTTGACAAGAACTCAGTTTGACTCAGCAGAACTCAGCTTGGCTAGAGTACCCAAAACTGGCAAACACTCAGGCGTCGAGGTAGTGGCAGTCAGCAGCTTAAGAACACTCCGTTAACGAGGAAACCATCAGCAGGTGTGTGAGGAGGCGGACCAGAACCAGGCGCCTCCTGGTGGAGGAAGGGAGTCAAACACAGAACACAAACACAGACAGGAATCCTGACACATCCTGGCTCATCACATCCTTAATCTGGCATTAATAGAACATACAGTATTCGAAAGGGACGAGATAATGCACATTACATGAACAAAGAGACAAAAGAAAAGGTGGAGGTAGATGCGCGATGAATTAGGATTGATGTGTATAAAGCCATGCACAGCTTTTTGATATTTATATTCTAAAGGTATTGCAATACAGAGCTATTGTGGTTTTTGTTATTGTTGAACTAAAAAGGTATTTTGGTCTGTTTGCCCCATTTGCTTAATGCTTCCCCCATTTCAAAACAGAACTAATTAAAAATATGTTGCAAAGAAGAGTATGGTACTGGTACAAGTTTGGAGAGAGTATGGTAGTAAAAGCAAACAAACTATGTAAACAAGACATGATTAATTACCAAAATAGTTTTCACTTCAGTCAGTATCATATTAGCAGAAAAAGAAATAAATTGTGTGAATTACAACATACATTTATTAAAATGAGTTTGAAATATATTTAAAAATTTCTGTCTATGTCATTCATAAATCTCTAAACAGATTAGAAGAATTTCAGAATGTAAAGGGTGCAAGCCTTTATTGCACAACCGATAATGTCTGAGTTGTCAGAAAGGAACCAATATAGGGGATTCAGAAAAGGCTAGTAAAAACACAAAGGGAAAACATTGCCCTTTGCTTTTATTTTTTTAACATAATATAAGGATACAGGCCCTGCCTAAAATTGGAAATTCTTTATTTGTAGTAAACCTCAGACCTAACTATAAATATGTGTCGATTAAAATTACTTATTCATGTTTGGGTATTTTCACTTAACAGCTTGTTCTAAAAACAGTATTCTTAAAGGCATCCTTTCCCAGTCCATTTAAACTCTAAAAAGCAGGTTATGGGAGAAGGAATATAGTAATTTGAGAGTGTAAAGATTAGGATTAATAAGAGGAAAAATGCAGCTGGACCTCAAGATTTACCTGGGGTGAGGCAGGAAAATACTTTCTTAAAAACAACGTGCATTTGCAAAGATGTGCATAAAGATGACAAAACAAGTGTGGTTCATTTTTTAATGACTGTAAATGCTATGACAAACAGTGGAACCTTTTTCTGTCAAAGATAGAAGTTGCAGTGTGCATCATCCCAAGGAAATCCACAAAACACGTAGAGTCAAACGTAACATGTAATGAAGGCTTCATACAGAATATTTCTGCTTTTTCATCATGTAGTTTTATTGCATACAGCTACTTGTAAGCTGGGTACATACCTTCACAGTGTACTGCACTGAATATGGATGCTTGACCAAAAATATTATAAATCTGTTACACTCTGATGGAGACAATTACATGTTAATCATCACTTTCATCACCTTTCATCGAGATGTGATGACAACTTAATAGAAATCTGGTTTGACCTTGGTTACCATGGAAACAATTGAGCATCCATGTTAAGAATTACATACTGAAAGAGTAACAAATGTGTTAATATAGTTAAAACATCTACCATTTTCTAACACTAAATCTGGAGAATATCATAGGCAAAAGAGACTTTTTCAACTGAGCAACAAGGACAAACTGTATGCAGAGTTAAGGCTTTAAATTCAGCATATGTATTTTCATACAGTAGAAAAAGGAGAAAAAAGTCAAGTGGTATCAAGAAAAGAAACCAAAGAAAACATTACCCAATCATGTCATTATTCATGTAGTTATTCATGCAGTTTTCAACTTTTAGATGCATTATTTTACAGAATCTCAGTCTGCTGCTCTGTACCAGCAATTCACATGCACATGTGGGACAGTAAATGACTAAGAGGAGTTTGATGATAAGGCTTTAATTGTGTTGAGGTCAGTGGTTTTTCATTAATATGACCAAAAACTCTACAACAGAGGACAAATTTAGGAAATGGAAAGTGAAAAAAGATGAGAAAATATATACAGTACTTAGGGGGAGAGGTATTAGAATCATCATCCAGTCCCTGTGATTTTATTCATGTGCTGTTGGATAAGAACATTGGACTCTCTGTGCCTATAAAGGTGATGCCTACTGAGAGATGCTATCTTTACCTCATAGGTACAAAGGCCTCATACACTACAGGCAGTTGGGCCTAAACCACAGGTCTACATAACCACACAGCTCAGCCAGACCAACTGCCAGGAAAAGTCTGCCACCTAGAGGTACTGACAGAAATTAAGACAGGAATTAAGAGTATGAGGATTGAGACTGTTATGGCTGTAATACTTTCAAGGATTTGTTTCAGGAAGCTCTTTTCTGGTGTAACAATGGTTCACAAAGCCAGATTAATTATCTATTATTTTATTTAACTGATAAATAAAAAATAACTATTTGAAAAAGGAAAATTTTAAAACTAATGCAGTTAAAATATTTTTAGTTAACAAGACAAAATACTATAAGTGTCTACTAGTGAAAGTCCCATCTTCTTTCAATTAGAGTGTTTTCGGTATCAGGAAATTAGTAAAATATTATGGTATTAATAAGGGTTTAAAATGATCTAACTAGAAATAGTAAAATTATATGAAACAGATTCCTATCTTTAATTATTTCCTAAACAAAATAAAGCCAAAACAGTAAGGCTGAATAACAGTCAGGGAGATCAGCACTGACTTGAGAGAAGCAACTAAATCAATCTACCATTAATCAGTGAAATGTTACATGCCATTTTCAAACAATATGAGAAATTTTATTTTACTTTGAGAAAGATTATTCAGAAGGGGAAAATATTTAAAATATTAAAGAGCCCAGGTCTTTAAAATGCGTAAAACAGCATTAAATTCAGGGGATTGCAAAGAACCAAGACCTCCATTTCAGGTTATTACTCATACTTGTGAACTAGCAAGGCAGCAGGCTAAGTAGAGATGCTCAGACTTCATTCTACTCACATTCTCACATAATCACATCCTTCATCTCGTCTAAGGAAGGCTGAAATGTTCCAAGGCTTTCCTCTCAATGGAGGAGCAGTGGCTTTATTCTGAGCCTTTCCAAGATGGTCGAGTTCCTCACCCTATTCTTAAAGATGAGTTCACCCCAAATTTAAATAACTCATCTTAAGCCAGGGATTTAGATGTTATCTCTATGTAAAGGGGCATCAGGGGTGACTAAATAGTTCGCAAAGAGGCATTTCAAATGTATATTTGGTGATTGGAGGGAGCAGGGGTAAAAATATAGGTGCGCTAGATAGAGTGAAATAAAACTTTGCAGAAGTTTAAAAAAATCTGTTTTTTTATCGCATAAACAAATTGGAGACTGGATGTCGTTGTGACATGAGTTTAAGTACCGCAGTGGATGCAAAGTTTTTGTTAGCCAAAGCTCACAACAACCGTTCAGTCTGTCCCTCTGCAGTGGCAGGGCAGTTCCTGTAGTGGTGATCAGGTTGATGTTGTTGACGTTCAGCCTTCCATATCACATAGAAACTCACTAAGGGCCATGGTGAATTTAACAGACAACAGAAAGTGTTATAACATATTCGATGTCCCCATTGGTGATGGCGCACAGAATATAATGTAACACTGGTTAGGGGATAGACACTCTACCTGTTGTGAGTAGTGAAGTGAACTGGGTTGAATTTCATTGTGGTCTCTACAACAGGGAGCTGATTGTCAAGCAACTAAACTAAACTAGTAAAAATTTTATTTTTTTGTGAATATACCCAGCAGAGGAGGCTTGTTTTAGCCACTTATGATGTCTTTCTTTGGGTCATGTACCAGATTCCATTAGTAGGTGAGGCAAGGAACCTAGACCAAGTAGTAAAATGAGAGCTTTGGTTTTCAGCTTAGGATTCTCTTCACAACATAATGGTGTATTGTCCTTATAACTGAGGCAGCCAAACAGATCCAACTGTTAAATATTAATATTGTAGTTTATATTAATAGAATCTGAAGTACAGTTTCTTTAAAGAGCAAAAAGTAATTTCTATAAAATGAATATACATAGAAGCATGGCTTAAGATGTTTGACCATAACATGCAGCAAAATGTCTGTCAAGGACCGAACATATCAGTTAAAACGCCTCATACCTTCCGCCAAGTATGGTGTTGGAGGGATGATTGTTAGGTTTATTCAATGATGATTATAAAATTAATGTGTGCTTATAAAACATTTTTGCAAGGGGATGCTCTACTCCTGTGACATGATTCAGTCAGGAGACCATCCTGCCTTGTCATTCTGATGGAGCATTCTGTCTTCATGAACAGATCAATTGTTCTGTCAGAACAATACTCTGTTTGTAACCATGTGTCATGTTCTGTTAATAAACGCTCTGCGGAGGAGGTCCAGTGGGAGACAGTGCGTTTGAGTCTGGGGTTCAACTGTCTCTCCTTCCTGCAGGAATTGTATCCATAATTTGTGTATTTCAGTTCTTCTTAAGCAAAAACCTACATTTTATGAACCCGACAATGATGATGTCAGCTTGCTTTGCAACCACACAACCTGGGAATCTTGCAATTGTTAGGAGGGCCATCAACTCCTCTGTATGCCAAACTATTATAGACCTACATGTGTGGTGGTTTTTTAGAACTGAAGTTTGTTCAAAAAAGGGTGAATTATTCATACTACACAAAAAAATATATGACAGGATGCTTAAAAAATCTGAAAAATCAAAGCCCAGACCTCATTTGGACTAAAATGTGGTTCTTTAGAGACCTGTACATAAAAAAAGGAAATAGAAAGATAGGCCTGGATCCATCTAGAGCAATATCATAGACGGGGTCAAATAGAAATGAACATTTGAAATAAATATTTTCTATTCTATACAGTTTAAATGTCCTGACATGTTAGCATGTGGCATCATGAGACTTTTGATTCCCCACATCTAAATAATCATCATAGTAGTATTTACATGAGTTTATTACGAACTAACACCTTTGGTTGAGAGATGTTTTTATATGTGAAACAGTGGAAACATCCTTCTCTCTACATGGTAAAGTAGTTTAACTGACTGTAAGGTGAGGGACCAAGTCTGTGAGCAAGTTGCGATAACATGATTTTTCTTTTTTTTTTCTGGGAAAAGCTGTGTCATTGTCAGCAGCAAAAATGTGTGCCTATCCTGTACTTTTTATTTTTTTATACCAGTTGACAATAAAACATCTGAATCTGAATGTGTTTTTATTTCTTACTTGAGCATTATTTTAAATTTATGCCCATCTGGTTGACATCTATAAAGATACTCTTAAATCAATATGTCACAAAAACTAATAGACTTTGATTGTCAGGGATAAGTTCATTTCACTTAAATAGTGCACTAAATCAAGCTGCATTGGCTAAAACTGCTTCAATTTTCAACTCAAAATATTTCAGTGACTCTGTCTCTGTTTCAGTCTGGTATGACAGAACAGTATTTGTCTAACCTGACAAACAGTAATACTACTTGTACAAAGATCCTGCCTTTTTTTGTTTTTATAGGCTTTTGGATTTTTTTTTGCAAAAGAGAGGCTTGCTTAGTAGCAACTCTTTGAAGGTCTGGATGCATGCCAGGCTGCAGGTATTTCCTTTTGGCAAATATTTGCTGCTAATGACGAGACATTTTGGCTAGCATGAGGAAAGATGAGGGGAGGCTTGGAGGTAGATGGGAACATTTAGCTTGGTTCAAATGCTAGGGCTTACATAACAAATAGAGAGTGCGCACAGTCCATTACATTGCAGGAAATATATCCCTTTCTACATTTCATGCCAGGGAGCAACTTTACCACAATTGTTGTATTTTCTTTATTTCTCCTTCCCCTCTTTTTTACAATTATCTCCATTCATCTGCCCCATTTTCCTCTTTTATCATCACTCCTTGTCTTTCTTTCTCACAGATCCTTTTTATGGCAGATATTTGCCGATATATAAATGGAATAATTTTTAAACCAGAAATAAGCATTAGGCTTGATTAGGAAGTGCTTTAATCCTGACAATACCAACAAAAAAAGCAAATCCAGAAAACAAAATTGCACAAGCATATTTATCATTAGATTATGATTCTAAGTTTCTTGTAGAAAGCTTTTGTTTACATTTCTTAATCAGCGCAAATAAAGAAATTAAGTAGAAACATAAACAGTTGAAAACAAAGAATCCAAATGAAACCAGCTGTTCTTGAATCGGAGCTACCAGCTGAGAGGTGGATAGGCAGCTGCCCTTTTTTTGATGTAGAGCCAAGCTGCCTGTGAGCAATTAGCATTCCTATCACTGAAGGTTTGACAATTTTTCGGCAGCTTGTTAAAATAATAAAACAAAGCACATCAGCCTCAAAGATATGTCACAATAACATACTTTTTAAGCACTAACTTGTTGCTTTGATCTAGATTTGGAGTTCTTATTGCATTTCTGTGTTCAGGCAGTCCAAACATTATCTTGGTCAGCACATTGAGGCAAAGTAGGAGGGGATTGCTGTGAGAAACTGGTCCATAAAAATAGCTCCAAATTGACCTTTTGAAAGGTCATTGTACAGGGAAAGAACCCACCCAGCCTAAATGAGCCCTGACAAGCTCTCGGAGAAAAAACGTACAGTTAGAAACAAGAAACAATGCCTCAGAACTAGCTAACCCAGGCAAACTGCTGATATTTTTTTTTTTTACATTGTCTTTGTTCTTTGTTCCGCCATATTGTTAGCAATGTGCATAGAAATAACAAGTCAGTTTTGAGAAAATAGGGATTAAAATGTACAGGTATTTACATTTTTTTTTTTCCTTTTCCCCAAGTTTATTCTACCTAAGAATTACCCTTTTGTTACCTGAGCATCTGGATAAAACTCCCCTATTAAACTAAGGATTCATTCTAACTACCTCTAAAACTCTCAGTGAAGTCTCCCTGCTGTCACCATCCTGTTGGACTGAGGAACCAAAATTTAGCTTCTATGCCTTCTACTGATTTTGAGGAAGCTATGGTTGTTTATTGAACTTATTCCCTTCATTTAGTTCATGCCCAGCCACTGATCTTTCTCTTTTCTTCTCCAGATCTACCTCACTCTGCTGGTGGTGTTTTAATAAAGTAATTCTGATTCTGATTTTCCTGCTGATTCCTAAATTCATTTTTCAATAAATTATTTAACTAGTGCTGTTGGGATCTCTATTCTCCATATGACATTCAAGTAAAAGTAAACATGGGGTGCAGCAAAAGTACTCCAGATAATGGTTTTTCAAAAGTTGCAAAAGTAAATGCATTGTGATCATTGATAAGCAGCACAGGACCTCCGTAGTGATCAATAAGGACATCCATTATGATGGAAACCTCAGGAATAAGAACAGGAGCAAGATAATAATAGTCATAATTATTTAAACTTGTATGATCACTCTTCAAATACATTCCATTTACATACAAGCTGTAACAACCAAAGCTTTGCTGCTGTGTGCTGTTGCAGCTTGTCAGTGTTTAAGTATTTTTTTTTCAGGTGGTATTATATATATTATCCTCCTCCACCTCCCTCCTTTCTGTCTCTGTGCCATGTCCCAACATGCCAAAAAAGAATGTCAACTCTTACAACTCCTCCACATGTTTTAACATTTAGATGTGTAATTATATGCAGTATTGTGTCGTACAGCAAAGGCAAAATGCTACTCATGTTTTATTAAAAGAAATTCCACATTCTAGCCAGACATGAGAGTTGCAGATAGTATGAAACAGCTGATTTGTGTAAACAATGCTGAAGTCCACCAACTTCTTTATTGTAGTAGACTGTAGCATTGTACATACAACCTATCAAAGTTTTTGTTGACTGGATGGACAATTGAGGAAAATTGATCAACTTAAAGACTATGTTTTTCCAGTCTTTGCTTTGTATTGTATCACTATATATATCCATGATTAAGTCTTTATGGTCTACTTTTTTATTCTTGAAAAGAGTCCACAAATGGTAATAAGTGGGACATGAAAGCAGCTATATATATTGCATTACAGAATAATCAGGAGTAACACTCCTTATTAGCACAGTTTTAGAGAAAAACAAAACTTTAGCTAAAGTTCAATGTAACTGCTTTAAAATATATTTTTTATGCAAGTTTCATTTATTGAGATTTAGATATGAATAAAGCATTTGACCCATTAAAAGTAAAAGAAAGAGACATTTCAATACACAAGCAGTTCCTCAGCACAGAATGAAGTATTCCTGGGAACAAAAGGAATGTTTACACAGCAGTCAGAAGGAAAGTGAGAAATGCCCCTTTTAAATGAAAGGTATTGGTTTGAGGTAATATTTGGGGCTAGAGATAAAAAGGAAACCTTATCAATTATACAAATAAATAGCATTGCTCTATTTAACCATATTCAAGGCCTAATTTCATGTGTGGCTCATGTAGATTGTAGTATGAAGAGTTGTCTGTATGGATGTTTAGGGCACTGAAGAGCTGGACTCTGGATATAATTTTGTCATAGGAAAAATTTTTGCATTTTCCCTTGGGTTACATGTCTAAAACCAAAGTACAGTTTTAGCAATTGGGGTAACGTACTGGGAAATCCCAGAGCTTGCTGATGAATAGGTTGTCTGAAAGAGGACCAGAGCAGTTCAATTTGAAAAGTTTAAGACCGTCGTTGTCAGCATGACTTTTCACTGTCACACAGAAGACCAACTAAATGCATATGGAATAAAAGGGAATATTGTCTGTCCCAACTGCTGAATGATCATATGTCATAGCTATGGCAAACTTATCTCTATATAAACGATGGTCACCTACATTATACCTCAATTTTATTTGAACCATGGGACATTTATCTGGGCGATTTAACAGTGAATGAAAACTTCGTCAGAAATATTCAAAATTAAGTAGGTACCCACCCAAATTTTCAAAACTTCCACACAGTGTATGAACACATTTTCTTCTTTAGAAAGACCACTTGCTTTTACTCTCTCCTTTCCACTCACATCTGGTCTGCAGTCGGCGCTCGGAGCACTTCCTCTATTTTCATGATAACAGAATACAGTGAAATCTTTACTGTCTAGATGCTTCATTAAACTATATGTATATTTAATTATATTTCTTTTAATCCATTATTCTAGCTACTTTTTTCTAAATCAGTGAGTTGTTCTTGGTTTGCTAAATAAATTAGATATATGGCACCTGACTGTGACTGTTCTATTCATCTCTAATTTCAAGTTGCATGAAAATAAAAATAAATAAAATTAGAAGAAGAATCTGTTGGTATCTTTAAAGAATACAGTTGTAAATTAATTTCACACTTGCATATTTCAGATTTCTAAATGCTGTTTATTAAACCTGAATGACTGTTCTAACTGTGAGCACTTCTTGCAACAATACCTTATTTTTTTTTTATTATTATTTTATGCAGTCTTGGTAAACTGCTGATTCAGCTGTTAGATCAACAGGGCATTGCAACAGGCTGATCAAATCATAGGTATCCCACCATCTCTCTGATTATTAGCTAGAAAATAATCCTTCTGTTTCCTTTTCTTACTTAGAGAAACTCCTGATCCGCCTTCCTCGATTGTCTGCTCCTCCTCCCACATCCACATTTTCCTGTCTGTCTCTCTATCCAGCCTTGTTAACATGTCTGCAGCTCAGTCTCTGAAAACATTGATATAATAAACAAATTATTTACTTAACTCCACTCAATGGTCGCCCTCACTAAAGGTTATAAACATAATGAATGTGCTGTGATCTTTCCACTTACATTTTCTTGTCTGTTCACCAAATTCCTGCTGAAGTTACTGAAGCCCTGTGACGAGAATCGGGAAACAACACTTGGATGTGGAATAACTTCAGGACATGATGAAGATATTTTGTCTGAGTACTTTATATGAGTAATAAAAGTTCAGAAGAAAATTTGGAGATTACAGATTGAATCTTTTTTTCTTCTTCTTCTTTTTCTATTTTTATTTGGTCATATAGAAATGACTGTAATCACCATAGATTTTTTATAACAGACAACATAAAGTTAAAAACAAGTTTTTGGAATAACTGCCAATAAGGTAAATGACTTACTTTATCTTTTTGTGCAAAAATGTTGCCGTACTCTTTTTCACAGGAATGATTCAGTCTAGTTATGTTGGAAAGCTTTTGAGCTGAAGGTCCAGGTCCTGAAGTAGAATAGGAACTTTATACCGTCACACTATCATGTGTGAATATCTCTATGTGCTTTTTCTGAAATTCTCAGCTATTTATCTTACGTGTTACATGTCTCACACAATACAAAACAATAAACTTTTGTCTCAATAGTTCACACATCATCATTCCAAAGGTCTTTGGGACCACATGTGTTTGGCGAGTGTGAGAAAATCGTATTTATTTTTCTTTCTTTTGGTCAGCAGGGGTTTTGACCCTTGACTCTTTTCTAAAGACCATTTTGTCCAAGCACTTCGTCCTGAATCATGTACCTTAATGTTAGGCAAGTGAGGTCTAAAATGCTTTAGAGCAGAGGTCTTCAACAGGGGGTCTGCGACCCCTAGGGGGTCCAAGAGGTACTCTGTGGGGGTCGAAAAAAGTTTTGGTTGATTAGCCGTTTTTATTTTTTTTATATTCCCCCCTGTAATTTTTTTTCCACAAGATGAAATGTCTTTAAATACACATTACCATGAATTCAACACACTGTAGTAAACAGATAAATGGAGGCAGAAGATGTCTTTCAATCATCAATGCACACATTCAGTGACACAGAGGAGCTCTTTCAAGCTGGGCTTCATTCAAAACACCTGTTTCATCAACGAGGAATAAGAATCAGAATTACTTTAATAGTCCCAGGGTGAAATTACTTTTGTTACATTACTCCATATGTAATAGAGTGAAAATATAACCAGTTTGATGTAACACAATTTCATACAATATATTTAATTAGGGGGTCCCCGTTCCATCTCGCCATCATTTTGGGGTTCTTGGCCTAGAAAAAGTTGAAGACACCTGCTTTAGAGTGTTCTGTATTATTTTTTGACCTCCATAATGCAGTTTGGAGTAAACTTCAGTAGGTCACTCTTAAAGGAATAGTACACCCAAAACATGATTAGCCTTCATTTTCTACTCACCCCCATGCTGAACAACACTCTGGAGTACTTTTTTGATATCTCAAATGCATCTGGAGATCTGGGAGGCTTCTTGCTGTCTGCTGACATTCAAATAATGGAGGTCTATGGTGCCCGAGACAGAAAGGTCCATAAAAGTCCACAAAAAACGTGTCAATATTCCTCCATACTGCTCGTCCAATGTATTCCAAGTGTCATGAGTGGGTAGCATCCAGAATTTACTCGAAACGAAGTCATTTAGAATGTTTTTAGAGCATAAACAGTAGTGTATAGGATTTCCTGAAAGCGCGCACATGCGCGTTCACGAGCCTACGGAAGCCGGCAGACCAAACCAGCGCATTCAGCTCGGCAAAGAACTCATGCTCTTCCTCAACACTGAAGTCCTCAGACATTTTTCTTTCATTGTTTCTTTCTTTGCACAGGTAAACAGCACATTTCTTCTTCTACGCTTGCATTATTGGCAGAGCAGACGCTGAATGCGCACTTTCATCTGGTTTGGTCTGCCGGCTTCCGTAGGCTCGTGAACGCGCATGTGCGCGCTTTCAGGAAATACTATACACTACTGTTTATGCTCTAAAAACATTCTAAATGACTTCGTTTCGAGTAAATTCTGGATGCTACCCACTCAGGACACTTGGAATACATTGGACGAGCAGTATGGAGGAATATTGACACGTTTTTTGTGGAATTTTTATGGACCTTTCTGTCTCGGACACCATAGACCTCCATTATTTGAATGTCAGCAGACAGCAAGAAGCCTCCCAGATCTTCAGATGCATTTGAGATATCAAAAAAGTACTCCAGGGTGTTGTTCAGCATGGGGGTGAGTAGAAAATGAGGGCTAATCATGTTTTGGGTGTACTATTCCTTTAAGTGTCAAAACAAAAGCAAAAATGGAGGGAAAAAATTAAAGGTTTGATTTCACAGCACCATCATTCTTCAGGAATAGCATGGCACCTTTTTTCCAGATGTTAGTGGGTATCAGTAACACCAGCTGGAGATTGTCCATAAATCACACAAAATGCTTTCAGGCTTCAGTTATTGGTGTTTTATAAAAAAAAAAATGCCAAGCTATACGTATTGATGTATTAGGTTCAATTATGTGATTTATTTTGACTGAGCTAATTTTATTACACTGTATAAACAGGAATATTTTACCCTTTAAAACATGATCTATTTGCTAGCCAGAGAAGGTAAGTTTAGTTATTAAATAGCGCCATCTGGTGGTTATCATGTTATCTTGCCACTGTTTTTAAATAAATACATATACAAATACATACACAACAAAACATATTATTTAAAAGTTAGGTTCAGAGATTCAAAACAAAAAGTGACGGTAACATCTTAGGTAAACTGATTACATAGAGTTTAGAGCATTTGTAATGTTTTTTTTCTGACAATTGTAATAATTACTTCCAAAAAAATTAAATGTAACCCCCTATTTTAGTTTATCAGAAAAGGAAAATATAGCATGAAATCAATGAAAAAAAAAAAAAAGTACATTTATGTGATAAAGCAAAATGTATATTCCAGGACAATACAGCACTAAAAATGGGGAGTATTTTGCATGAATTACTGTATCACTGCAGGGTAGCATGGAGCCTGTCAGCCTATGGCTCTTCCAGCTTGCTCTGACAGTGGTCTTCCGCTCTGGACTGTTTGCACTCTTGTCTTTCATATTTCTCCTAAAAATACATGAAAGAATCTTAAAGAGTTACTCAGATGGGTTTGCTGACCAGGCATGCCTTTGTAACAATAGGAACCTTAAAATGGAGCCTAGGCGGAAGTTCAACTGAAGAAACTTATTGCTTCTCTACATCCACCTGCGACACAGCCAATCAGCTTTGAACCACACATCCACGAAAACGATTCGGCATCAAAAGTTCATCTTAAAAGGCCTCCGATATGCACTTGTCTGCTCCTGTGTGCAGTTGGTGGATGCGCTGTGACTTCATTCAGATGATACCGTTTCAACCCATCTCCAGCCCCTCCTCCACCTTCGTAGCTAAAGCTTCATCAGAGTGTCATTCCTCCCGGACTCTTACTGCTTTCCCTGTCTCATCTTAACTGGTCCGGCAGAAGACCGCCATGTTGAGCCTGGTTCTGCCAGAGGTTTATTCCCAAAGGGGAGTTTTTCCTCTACAGACTGACCAACTCCATCTATCTCCACTCCACCACCAGGTTCAGGCTTGGAGGAAACAGCCCTATTCTTTGCTCCTGTTCATGCATATCTAACAAAATTAAACGCTATGTTTCCTGCCAAGGTCTGAGCACGAAAGACAAAGTAATTGTGTCAATACATTTCTCCCAATTGTCTTTACTCTTTGTTTGAGTTTTTCTGATTGGGTTAGGGTTCCAAAATGTCTTTTGGAAAATGCTGCAATGCACTGCGACCAGATGGCCGCCGGCTCAAACCCCAGCTCAGTGGTTGTGGCCTTTGGATAAGATGTTTCACCTGCATTGCCTACTGATTTAGTCAGCGGGCCTGGAGGTGCCTGCATATGGAAAAGCTACACAGGCTTTTAAAAACATCAGGCTTTTGAGTGGCTTAAGGAAATGGGTTAATGTAGCACGCCCCCATGAATGATTGGATTAGTTGGAATCCCCTGGCTTGGAAAGGTGTTATATCACTGAAGTGAATTTACCATAAAGTGTTGTACTCTGTTTGTTTTGAATCTGTAAATTATGAGTATATGTTTTGCACTGAAATACGTAAATCTATTAAGTTTTTATCAAATTCTTATTCTAAATGCAAGTCTACTAATTTTAAAATGTTGATTTAAGAGTAAATTTGGCAATCCTTAAAATCTTTATAAAAGCTCTTTAATATGCTGCACCGTCCTACCCGCTTGCTGCTGGCTCCCTTGCATGTAAAATACAGTTTAGGGAAGTATCTGACTTTAAAAGGTATAAATTTAGCTTTGAGGAAGCATGCCTTTGTAGCATATTTATAATGCAACAGCTTGATTATTGTAAATATACGCTTAACACATGTGATGTTAGTGTGTTAGTGTGTGATGTTAGTGTGTTAGTGTGATGTTTTAGAAAAAATTGTTATTTAATCATCATTATCTGATACATTTGAATGGGTGTCATATCTTCCTTCAAGACACGTAGGAGAACGTTAGACATGGCTCATTTTTTAGCTCCACCTCCCCCGATCAGTCCCATGTGACTTGGTGACAGGGTGAGGCTCTGGGTGCACTTGTTTCTGTGGGTTCGACTTCTTTATAGAACCAGGAGGCCAAGGTTTAAACGGTGGGGAAGGTTTTCTTTTCCTGAATAATGGATTACCAACAGAAACTGGCGGAAAAACTCACCATCCTCAATGAGAGGGGCAACGGGGTGCTGATACGCATGAACTACATTAAAAAGGTGAGGAATAGATGTAAGAATTAATAGGCATATGATACAAATACCAAAGACAAGAAATAAGGAACTAATATATTTTCTATCATTTGTTTAATAACAAGAATTATGCTTCTTCAATCAAGTTATAAAACTTGATATGTTGCTTCAGCTGTAGTTATTTATCTCAGAATTTAACAGGATGATTGAAGATTGACGGAATGAAATGTCAGTCAATAGGTCTAAAGAATATGTTTCAGAATTCATGGCAAAAACTGCAGAGCCTTCCTTTAGAGCACTGAGTTGACACTAATATCAGATCTAAATAAGGTGAACTGAGATAAACCTGCTCTTT